CGAAAATTTTGTTTGATTTTGTTTGTATGAGAGTAAAGAGAAGCTTATGACGAATATACGAAAGTGACAGGGCAAATTTTATTGGACACACAATGCGGAAAGAAACATAGGAGAATATTGTAACAACAGGCACGTGTGAAGGAAAGAGAGGCAGAGGCAGACAGAGGGAAAAGATACTGGACAAGTTTACAACATGGCTGGGAACAGCAAGAACAACAAACACCATCGCTGCAACGCAGGACAGAGAGAAGTGGAGGTCCATGATCGCCCACGCCAGCCGGAAAGGCACCGAGTGATGATGAAAGAGAAGCACATTGACACAATAATGGCCACTTGTGCTGGAAAAAAGCAAGATTAACAGTCAGAAAGAACAGAGGATAAAAAAAAAGATCTACCAGAGGGGCCCTCGAACCACCCGCGACAGAGCCAAAACCATTATAGGCAGTCTAGAGAGATTAACACACTGAGAACGCGCATTCCGGTCATTCGACAACGCTTGAAGATGCGCTATTTTGGGGTACTTAAAAAAAAGAAGAATGACTTCGTCCTTCTTCTTGTATCTTTTTCTTCTTCGTTCTCGATCATAACTTCGTTATTCATTCAACATTTTCTGTTCTGTTTTATCTACATAAAACTTAAAAACTAAGACAACAGCATGCATGCTCTGAAATATACAAAACAAATTCGTGCTTCTGATTTGTGTATGATGGTTTTAAAAAATGACGCAACACTGCCTTAGGTCGGCTGCTGATGGAGCATTATATGAACCCACAACGTCCTTCAAGAGTTAAAGGTTAATGAGAGAGAGAGAGAGAGAGAGAGAGAGAGAGAGAGAGAGAGAGAGAGAGAGAGAAAGAGAGAGAGAGAGAGAGAGGGGGGGGGGCAACATTGGACTAGGAAACTAGGAAACGACCAGCGCGCTACCTTGTTGAGATCCCACAGGATCAAAAGCTAAGGCAGATATCCCAAGGAGAAAATCCACGAAGAGGCAACTCTGTGAGAAGGAAGTCTACTCTAATCCACACTATCGCTTAAGGGTTTTGGTCCCATAGGAAGAATGGTGCAACATCTTAAACAGATATCATGCCTACACCAGTAATTAGAAATGTTCTGCGTCTGAGAGTGACTTTTAAGTTAAGTTGAGACGAACATGAAATCGGTTGGTTGAAACCCCAAAGACGTTCGCATATCAAACAAGAAGTGACAAGAAGACCCACACACTTGATATTATTTGACTGTGACCATATATTATTATTTTCGTACAAGTAGGTGCTTTTAGACCCATCATCGACAAAGTAGATAACTTAGGAGGTGGACTTTGACCCTGCCTGCAATGGCCAGCCTGAGCTGAGAGTGAAACAACATCATCTGCCCTGTTTCATGAAATTTGACCCTGAAGTCCATTGGCGCACTCTGTTTAAAATGTTTTTAAAATGTTAGTGTTGTCACGCCCCAATCGACATAATTTAGATAATTTAGGAAGTGGGCTTATATCTTACCTGTCAAGACCAAACCGAGCCGGAAAAAAAGAAAGGTGTAGGTTTAACGCCCCTATCAACACTATTAGGTTATTTAAGGGGCGGCCTAGTTTAACGTCCGTCTCCGATAGGACCGGAGCTGAGAACGAAACAACATAGCAGAAGAGGTACTTGAAAAAAAAATCTCTACTCTGCCTGGCTGAATTATTTTGGTTCCAAGCCATGTTTCTATGTTCTGTTCCCATCTTCTGTTCGGTCTCCCCTTTCCTCTCTTGTCATTTATCTTTGCTTCCAAAATAGTGTATTATTATGATCGTACATAGTTTTCACCCCATTAACACAATTTGAATCATTTAAGAAGTGGGAAACGTCGACTCTGAGCGCCAGGGCAAACTTAGGCAAAGTGGGATTCAGTGTCAACAAGACTGAGAAACTCAATAAAATAGAATTCTCTTTCCATACTTGGGAATCGGAGTCGTTGTTTCTTGCGTGAAAGACCGGACATCTAACCATCCCACCACGTACAGACACCGGTCTTGGG